GTATTTTGTTTTGGTTTATTAGGGATGTAGGATGGTGCGGGATAGTTTGTGTGTTCGAGAGTATGGAGCGGCAGCTGAGTGGTGGGGTGGCTGGTGGATGAAAAGGCTTGATTTTTTCACTTATCAGCGTAGTTTTTGAAGCCTTTTCAGAATTATACATGTTTCAATAAATTACTCACCATAATTCAAAACTGAATTCGATTTCGCATAATCTGGCTCTTGCTTAAACACTGGCTCTTCCTTGCACGATAAATCTGTATACAATTGGCGGAATGTCGCATATTTTGGGGCGACTCGTCTCATCACATCCAATCCACGAAGGTTGTCCATTGGTCCTTGATCCATGGCAATGTCATCAATAACGGCGTCTTCGATGTTGGTCACGTCGCCTTCGAGGGCCTAAGAGAAAAAAGGGGTTTTGAAAAGGGTCATTTAGATGAAAAAACCATTTTTCTAGAATTTCTGGGACCTGGGATATAGGTGTTTGAAGATTTGTAAGCGAAAGACGGAGACATCGAGACACTCTATCTGTCTGCGTCTCTCCAAACTTTAAAGCCATGTTTCTCGGCTCACAGAATGGCTAGAAATGTGACTTTTTTTTACTAAAATGCGTTATTCCTAAAGCTTTTTCAGATTACAAATTTTCAAAGTATTTGTTTCGACGAAATTGTTCTTTTGGCATATTTTGAAAGTTTCAAAATTTTCAAGTTTTCGTAGAAATGGTCCAACATATGAAAATACTTTGAAAATTCGAAAAACCTGTCCAGTTTTGAAACTTCAAGGTCACCTGGGAGCCGAGATACAGCGCTCTGAAGTTGGAAGAGACGCAGACATCTAGACTGACTCGTCGTCTGCGTCTCTAACCTTTCAAAATTTCAAAACGCTGTATCTCGGCTTCCAGTTGAGCTAGAAAAGTGATTTTTCACAAATCTAGGTAGTTTTTCGAGCTTTTTTAGATTCCAGATTAGAAAATATGAAAAAAAAAGTTTTTAAATATTTTGGAAGTTTTTGATTTTTTTTTTTGAGTTTTTCAAAGAAATAAACAAACACATAAAAATACTTCGAAAATCAAGAAAATATGTACAGTTTTGTATTTTCTAGCTCATCTGGGAGCCGAGATGAATCGCTTTGAAATTTGGAGAGACGCAGACAGTTAGAGTGTGTCGCTGTCTGCGCCCTCCCCCTTCCGCACACTCTCTAGTCGCCTAAACTTCAAATGCCCGTATCTCGGCTCCTAGATCACCTAGAAGCGTGATTTTTTCAGAATTTGTAATTTAAAAATTCAGATTTTCTAAAAGTTCGAATGTTGAGAAAATCGCTCACCTCATTGATATCCGAAAAGCTGGATTTAGCAATTCCATCAACCAAATCAAAGATTCCAGCAGCAGCTGGCGCGTAAAACTGGTGGTGTGCCGTGGATTCTAAGAAGTTTCTGGAAACCACTGCGACGTCTTCTAGATCCCAAATAAAAACTCTCGCGTAGGCTTCGTCTCCCGGGGAACATGATCCCGTTTTCTTCTTTTTCGATATTTTTGGCTTCTTTTCTTTGAAAGTGAAGGATCCTACTGTAGATGAGGAGACACCGGTGGAAGATGCGTCGGATGATGTGCCTCCTAGATTGATGGGATCCGTGGAAAGGACCGAGTTTGCGACGCTCTGAAAATCCAGGAACATTTTTTGGAACTTCAATGGTTACTGTAGTCTTACGGCATAGGCAGCAGCTGCTGAGTTTAGTGAATTGTAATATGGAGTTGTGGTTCCTCCACGAATGTTGTAATAGGGAGCCGTTTGATAGGCAGCCGCCGTTGTGTAGTCCACTGGATAGGTTCCGGCTGGATAATTTAAGGTTTCGAGGGTCCCGAATTTGTCCAAAAATATATTTTTGAATTTTTAAAACAGTTTCAAATGTCGGCATTGCGAATTCATACGTTTTTCTAGAAAAAAACCACGTTTCTAGCTCATTTGAGTACCGAGATACAGGCGTTTAAAGTTTTGGAGGCGAGAGACGCAGACGACGAGACACTCTAACTGTCTCCGTCTCTCTAAACTTTGAAGCGCTGTATCTTGGCTCCCAGAGGAGCTAGGAAAATGATTTTTTCACAAGTCTGCATAAGATTTTACATAGTTTTTGACTACTTCATATCATATTTCTGACAAATCTAATATTACTGTAACTTACTGTAGTAGGGAGGTGTTGTTAAAGAATAAGGAAACGCAGTGGTGCCGGCTCTCAAACTAGCCGTCATTTGTTGATAGTACGATGGTGTTGTACTTGAATACATTGCGTATTGAGCACTCGTTGGATAGGAATTGTATTGGTGTTGAGAGGCGACAGAGGAGGTGAGACTGGTTGTGGCGGATGATGATCCTGGAAGATTACTGTATTGAGGAAGAGAAAATTGGGTTTGAGAAGCTTTTAAGAACCAAATGAGTGAAGTCTAGAATAGATGATGCTGGAATATTTAGCGGAAACCCAGAAAATTGATAAAAATCTTAATTTTAGTTTAAAAGTTTTTATTTATGCTTATTTTTAGGATTCTAAACGCAATCAGTTAAAAAAATAACATTTCAGTCAAAAAACCACGTTATTAGCTCGTCTGTAAGTAGAGATACAAACGTTTGAAGTTCTGAAGGCGAGAGACGCAGACAGCGAGACACTCTAGCTGTCTGCGTCTCTCTGAACTTTCGAGCCTTGTATCTCGACTCCTAGATAAGCTAGGACACTGGTTTTTTTACAGAATCATGAATTTTGGAATGCTCTTTTTGGTGATATATGAAATTTTGAGATTTCAGAGTTTTTGAAAATCGAAAAATTCAATTTTCAAAACGTTCATAAATCAATTTTCAGTGTTTTTTATTTCTGGAAATTCCGATTTTCCTGGAATTCGAAAAATATTTTTTTTTTCCTTTTTTTCACAATTCAAATTTCAACAATTCCGAATTTTTCCGGAGTCTTCGAATATTCCGAAACTCCAGAATTCTCTAAGAATTGAAAATTTTAATTATTAAATGCACAATTTATGATGAATTAAGCAGAACGTTTCCAAAAGTACCAAATTTTAAAAATTCAAATTTCAATTTCCAAATATTCTTAAAACCTCGATTTTGCTGGAATTTGAAAATTATTGAAAAATCGGAAAACTTCGCTTATTGAAAAAGTCAAAACTCCGATTCAAAACCCATAATAAAAAGAGCCAAAAATTTGTAAAAGTATCAAACTTCCAGAATTCAGAATTTTCGAACTTCTCTGAACTTCCTAGACTTGTTGCCTAATTAAATTTAAAATTATCGGATTCTCATTCGACATGTCATAATAAAAAAAGAAAAAAGCATAAAGGGACAGGTCTCATCCATTCCCATTCCGTATGTCTTTGTGTGTGTGTGTGTGTCAAACACAACACAAATGACAAAAAGAATGAGAACGAACGACATCCTTCCCTTCCTCCCATGTGTGCTCTTTCTCTTCACGGGGGCTCGGACCGCCCCCCTCCGAGGGAGGTACGGTTTTTGGGGTCAAAAAACGAGAGAGTATGGGATTAGAGGAGGGTGGAAGAGAGAAAGAGAGAGAGAGAATGGGAGGCAAACGTTACGTAATTGTTGTTACGGGACAGAAGGTCAATTGTGGCTATTTTGGGGGAATCGAGATTAAGGGGAGATTTTTAGATTTTTAGACTTGAGAAAGTTAGGCCACCTTGGTGAAAGCTAGGCCACTCTGGAGAAAGTTAGGCCATCATGGAAAAAGCTAGAACAATTTTTAAAAAATTAGGTCACGGAGCAGGGACCTTGGAGAAAGTTAGGCCAATTAGGAAAAAGTTAGACCATGATTTTAACAAGTTAGGTCATCAGATTCTGAGATTCTTTCAAAAAACGGAAAAAACCCCAACATTTTCAAATATCCCAAAAATACCAAGATTCCAAAATATCCAAAAATCCCCATAATTCAAAAATCTGGAAACTCCTAAAAATTTAAATATCTGAAACAATCTCTGAAATCTAGGAAATCCCAATAATCCAGAAATCCCAAAAATCCAAAAATTCTAAAGTGCAAAAAGTTGAAAATCCTTAAAATGCCGAAATTCTGAAAATCTGGAAAATCTCAAAAACCCAAAGTTCAAAAATTTTAAAAATAGATTCTGAGATTCTGAATTTTTGAATTTCTGATTTTCTGAAAGTCCATTATTTCAAGATCCAAGGGTTCCGAAAGTCTAAAATTCTAAAAATTCCAAAAATCCTCACCATACGCTTCAGAAATCGCTGTCAAATATCCTCCATTCGAATCCTTATCACCTGTCACTGGTGGAAGATTCGAAGCATTCTGAGTAGCTGGCAGTGTCGTCCAGATGGTTGATGAGTCTGTGGACATTCTGAAAATTGACAAAATAGGATGAAAATGGCCTAAAATAGGCTTTGAAAGTCACAATCTTCGATTTTCAAAAAACGCACGAAAAATTTGAGAGATCCGCGGTATTGTTGGTAGCGAGTGTGGTGTTGCCAGTTGTGCCGAGTAGAAAAGTCTTCAATTTTTGATCCTAAAAGTTCAACATTTTGAATTTTAGGGTTTCAATCGAAAAGAGCATTTAGAATTCACATTTTGGTCCAAAAACCAAGTTTCTAGCTCATCTGGAAGCCGAGATGCAGTGCTTCAAAGTTCAGAGAGGGGCAGACAGCTAGAATGTCTCGTCGTCTGCGCTCTCCCCATTCCACATGCTCTCTCGTCTCCAGAAATCGAAATTACTGTATCTCGGCTTCCAGATGAGCTGGAAAAGTTGTTTTTGACTGCATGTGTGATTTTCATTCATTTTTTATTCTACAAAAAACTCTGAATTTATAAAAAAATTTTCCTTCTTCTTCTTCTTCTTCTTCGATGTCCCCAAAATCTCCTATTACCTTGCCACGTGGCGTTTTCCGTTAATGAGGGTCCATAAATAACACTCAATTAGTCACCAGCAGGTGTGCACTTTTCTTTTGTCTGCGTCTCTCACTCTCTCCACGATACATTAAAGGGACAGATGTATTTTTTTTGGGGCAAAAAGGGTAAGAAAGAATAATAATGAGCAATGAGATTAGTAGGCAATTTGGGGGTAATATGGCTCTTTAGAAGGATAGCTACAGTACTTCCATAAAATTATAGTACTTATAGTACAGGTTATAGTTTTTCTAGAATACAGTATTTCTAAATCACAGTACTCAGAGAAAATTACAGTACTAATCGGGTTAATACAGTAATCCAATAGCTCAATTTGAATGAATGAGTTACTGTAGTTTTTGGGGTTACTGTAAAAAATCTCATGGAGTTTTGAAAATGAGATTTAGATAGAATTTGGCCAATCCTAAAGGACGATCTTGAAGAATTTTCAGTCAAAAATGAATTTCAGTGTATTTTAGTGAATTTAGACTATTTTTTGGCCAATTTTTGGTAATTAAAACCAATTATGTGATTTTAAATCAATTTCAGTAATTTTCAATTTTTTTTTCGAGCTATGTAGAATACTTTTTAAACTTATTTTCAGCCAAATTTGACTCATTTGCTGCTGATTGAACACAATTTACCGTAAAACATATATTAATTTTGAGCTCAATTATCTCGGTTCCTGTACAAGATATCAAAAATGTGTTAACTGATAAAATCTAGCTGATATTATGATAAACAATTTATCAGTTGACAAATGTTTTATATCTTTTATAAGAAGCAAGATAATGAAGCTCAAAGTGCAAGCTACAAGCCTAGCTACGGTTAATGCAGGCGGCGCTCTTTGCGCGTAATTATTTCGGTTTCTTTAAGAGGTATCAAAAAGTGGTAAACTGATAAAATGTAGCGTATATTATGATGAACAGTTCACTAGTTGACAAATTTTTGATATATTTTATAGGAAGCGAGATAAATTGGCTCGAAACTCTTCGTTCGGAAGAGTTATGGCAACTCCAAGCCAATTAGGTCCCCAAAAAGGGACCCCTAAAAGTGGGCTCAGGTCTCCGAAAATGCAAATTTAGGGACCCCTAAAGTAAGAGGGTCCACATGAAAAAGTGAAACCCGAATCCCCATTTTCCATTTTCACATCGGTCCCCTTCCCTTCTTATTTTCCAGAACCTTCTTCTTCTTCAAACACTGCCATCTGGTATATTTGTTTGCACAAGTACATAGTGCCCATCGTCTGCCCCAACCAGCTACATATGTTCCACCCGACTGTCTTTTCTCCTTATTTATATACACACTAGAGGTGATAAGTGTGCAGCACGGGCGGTCCCTGGCTACTACTGCCCCATGTAAACAGGAGGGAGAAGCGCGAAATGAATGGGATGGAGACAGAAAAAGGTGTCTGATTTCAAGTGACCGAGAACTTTCCCCTTCGGATCGAGCGCCTTTTTGTCGGGAGACCGACGGTGCAGCTAGAGCGAACAGGCGGAGGAGCGGGGGTGCTAAGAAGTTGCCGCCTAGGTTAGAAGAGGAGTACAGGAGGCCGGACCTTGGATTTAGGAAGATTTGAGGGAATCAGAAGGTCACAAATTTCGAAAAATCAGAAGTTTCAAAATTCAAAAACTCAATTATTGAAATATAAAAAATTTAATCTCGATATTTGACACCATTTTCTAACCTCTTCCTCTCAAACCCTACTGTACCCCAAACGCTGAGCAATTGTCGCTCTATTGAGTAATGATATAACCAATGACGTAATTTTGGGATTGCGCGAATTGCGAAGGAAACACACAGTGTGTATATTCGAGAAGGTAAAAGTGGGGGGTACTCTGCATAAACAGAGACCTCCTAGGGGAACGGGGGAAGGTCCAAAGGACCCCTGTAAGGTTATAGAGACATTTGGAAGGTATTGAAGAAAACAAAAGATTTTTTTTCGACAGTTTAGTTGAGCGATTATTAGCAAGGACGGATTTTAACTACGTAGCTTAAGTGGTAGATTGCAAATTTTGTCTTTTTGGAGTTCCAGGGACCTCAGAAAGCTAGAAAATTATTTTTCCAAAAATCACAAGACGCAGAAAATTATGCTGATTCCGAAAATCTAAAAATCTAAGCTCTAGCTCAAAACCGAAAAGAGTTATGATGAATTTTTTTTGAGCTAGGTTTTTAGACTTTCTAAATTTTCCGAATCTTTTAAGAATCTATTGAATTTGTTCAAGATTTTAAAGATACTGTGTTCTATGAGAAGCTCTAAAAAATGCAGAAATCAGAGAAAAAATCAGTAAATTGAGGAAAAGGAACCTGCAAATTAGATTTTCAACATTTCTAAACACAAATTGTTTATTTTTTCCTCTTTTTTCAACAACTATAAATTCTTCTGTGTCAGGTGATTCATTATTTTGGGATGGGAACAGAAAATCAATGAATTTCCGAAAATATTGATTTGAAACAAAAATTCCAGATTTTTGAGCTAAAGTACTGACAATGCCTAGAACTTGGGTCAGAAAATTTGAATTTTCAGAAATTCAGAAATTCAGAAATTCAGAAATTCAGAAATTCAGAAATTCAGAAATTCAGAAATTCAGAAATTCAGAAATTCAGAAATTCAAAAATTCAGAAATTCAAAAATTCAGAAATTCAGAAATTCAGAAATTCAGAAATTCCAAAATTCAAAAATTCAGGAAATTATTTGAGAATGCTCATAACTCGGTTCATTTTCAAGCTAGAGCTTTCGTTTTTACAATTTTGAAATTAGCGCAATTTTTTACATTTAGTGTAAATCTTAAATTGAAGTTAGCAAACTTTTTAAAGGTGCAGAGGGCCCATCAAGAAGGCCCTGTCCCAAGGAGGTCCTGTCCCAAGGAGTACAGTCAAAGGTCCCGATTTTGAATTTCATAGTTCTTCAAAAACTTACTCATTCTGGTTTCGAAGATATATTCTCTTAAAATACTGAAGAAATATAACGAAACAAGGAATAAGTAAGGGAATTTGATCGAGGTAAAAAAGGGAGAGAGAGATAGAGAGAGTGCGAGACGCAGAGAAATTTGCGGGGGAAGCAAGAAAACTTTCTCTAGTTTCACCATGACGACATTTGATACTTCAAGACACGAGAAGGACGATTCTGGAGTCTTCGATTCGACAGTATCACATTGCTCACCTCGTTATCTGGTGGTAGCATAGTCCAGAAAAAAGTTCTGGAAGGCTTCTGGAAGATTCTGGAGCTTCCTTTCTCTCCGTTGGTATTGAATGTGAAGCCGAAAAGAAGAAACCGGCGGGAAAATGTGAGCTAAAATGAGTGCTCTCTGTGTGTTTGTGCTGAGAAAGAGCTCTCTCTCTTGTGTGTGCTCTGAGAAGCTACCGTATACCCCAGAGCTAGAGCCTCGCCAGTCGTCCGCCGAGAGCCCGCCTTCAGGGGTTGGGTTACAAAGTTTCGTATTAATTAAAATGAGCTCCCTGGGCTTTAGAATCTTCTAGAATTTTCTAGAAAAGTCATTTGTGATTTCGTAGAAATTTTGAAAATCCTGTTTTTTTTGGTCCGAAGAAAGGGTCCAAAGATTATCAGAATTTGACGCAACTCCCTGATTACTCTCCCCGCACTTTGAGCTCAATTATCTTGGCTCCTTTAAAAAATATTTAAAATCTGTTCACTGATAAAATGTATATCAAATTATCACCAACATTTTTTTAGTTTACAGATTTCTGATATTCTTACAGGAATTGCGATACATGAGCTACAAATATTGTCATCCCTGAAAAATATGTGTTTAAACTTTGAGCTTGATTATCTTGGTTCCTTTAAAAGATATCAAACAATGGTCAATTGATAAAATATTTATCAGATTATTATCAGTATTTTATCAGTTGACAACTTTTTGATATCTTTAATAAAAACCGAGATAATTGAGTTCAAAGTTAATTGCTGCGCCACTGCTACTACGCGGTCGCAGCACAGCTACCGGCACGGCGCTTAACTTTGAGTTTGATTATCTAGATTTTTACAGCTATCAAAAGTTTGTCAACTGATAAAATGTTTATCATAATATCGGCAACTTTTTATTGGTGGACAATTTTTTGATATATCATCTAGAAATTCAGATAATCAAGCTCGAACTTGACAGTGTGGGGATCCCTTCTTACCCAAGTTTACGGTAGTTTTTGTACTATTTTGAGCAATTTAACTTGTATTGAACTTTAAATAAATTTGTTAAAAATCATTGATTTTCAAAAAATCCAGTAAACGGAGAAATTCCAAATTCGATCTTCTCGAAATGTCAAAAATCGCTAAAATCACAAAATTTAAGGTTCTCAGTATTTTCAGACTGCATTTTCAGATTCCAAGTCATCATTATACAATTGTTCATAATATTAAAAATTTCTCTATTTCTCTAATTCTCTAACTCTCTCTTTTCTCACACTAGTACAACTACTTTTAACCATTACTACAACAGATCCTTTTGGCTCTCTCCGTCCGAGAAAAACTGAAATTTGATAGTCTCCTTTTCTTTTTCGTCTTTCTTTTTCCGCGGGAAAATGAGAGAGAGAGAGAGAGAGAGAGAGAGAGAGAGAGAGAGACAGTATGGGGTACCGGAGCTTTCAGCTCAATTATCTCGGCTCCTGAAAAAGATATCAAACAACTGTCAACTGATAAAATGTTGATAAAAATGTAATGTATATTTTTGTAGTTGACAAATTTTTGATACCTATCACAGAAAAATAGATATTTGAGTTCAAAGTATGAGTATTGGACATGACGTTCTGTAAGAGGAGAATATGGTATATGGGACTTGAAGAGAGACAAAAATGAAGGCAAAACAGAATCCTGAAAAATACATCACAAAGGGTTTCAAATGAAAAAAGTTTTAGAAATGGGATATTAGGAAATCCAATAAAAAAAGGGTTTTTATACGGTCACTGAAATTTCAGACCTTTTTCAAATTTTAGTATTCGTGAATTTTCTCCAGGCGACGATTACGGAGCTTTTTCAGAAATTCAGAATGTCAAAAATCAGATTCAGGAATTCAGTGCTTTTTCAGTTCTCGGATTCCTGACGTCACACAAAAAGTAATAAAATTTTTGAATTCTTTTTCGATCACCGTAACCTGACGCAACCCACATTTCAAAATCCTTTGCCAGGTTTTAGGCCCATAAAAATTAAATCAAAGAAAAGACATGAAATCGTCACTGGTTTTTCTTCTTCTTTCTCTGACCCCGCCCACTTTTGCTCAATGGAAAGTTGATTCGAGTTTACGAGACGCTTGTAATCAAATGGATGGTGAATGGAAGGCTAGATATGATGAGCAGGTTGGTAAATGGGCAAGGGTTAGACAAATTCTGATTCTCTGGAAGAATAACATTTAGCGAATCAAAGATCAGATTTCTAGCTCAACTGGGAGCCGAGATTAGCCATTCAAAGTTCTAGGGGCGAGAGACTCAGACAGCGAGACGCTCTAGCCGTCTGCGTCTCTCAAAAATTCAAGTGGTTGTATCTCGGCTCTCAAAAGAGCTAGAAAGTTCAAACTTTGCCAGAAATTTACGGTTTTTATTAAAATATTGCATTCTTATATACAACCTCAACAGTTAAAAGTTTTTTCAGCAAAATATATTGTTTCCTAGTTTTTTTGGATAAAATTTAACTTTTTTTCTGAAAATCTGAAATTTAAGAAACATTTCTGTTTAAAAAAATCATGTTTCTAGCTCATCTAGAAGCCGAGATACAGCGTTTTGAAGTTCACGAGAGACGCAGACAGTTAGAGTGTCTCGTTGTCTGCGCTCTCGCGTTTCCTCACACTCCAGTTCGCCCGAACTTTAAACCACTGTGTCTCGGCTCCTAGACTATCTGGAAGCTAGATTTTTTCCATTTTTTTTCAGTCCATCATCGGCGACAGATGCACAATGACGTTCAACGTGGCAGTTCGGGACCAGAACGACGCTAACTCGTTTTGCGAATTGTACGCTCCATGGAGATTGATAAAAGCTGAAATTGGAAATAATGGTAGACCAACGGTAACATGTCATGTTGGTGAGTTAAAAGTGCAAGTTTCTAGATCTTCTGGGAGCCGAGGTACGGCGATTTTCAATTTGAAGAGACGCAGACAGTCAGAGTGTCTCGCTGACTGCGTCTCAAGCCTCCAAAACTTCAAACGCCTATATCTTAGCTTCCAGTTAAACTAGAAAGCTCAAAAATTGACAGAGTTAGTTGGTTTCTCATGTTTTTTTTTTCCAATTTTCACTTTTTCAAAAAATTGTAATTGAATTTCAAAATTTCAAATTGCTCTATCTCGGCTTCTAGATAAACTAGGAAGCTAATTTTTTTTGAATTTTGGACCTAAAATTTTCCAGAAGCCACCCTAACGTGCAAAGATGGCTGGACCCAAATGTTTGGCTACTGTTTTATGATGCCAGATAAGCATAACATTTTCACATATGAGCAGGCAGTGCAACAATGCAAAGCCACTGATAACTCAGAGATTGCTCATTTGCAGCACAAGTATATTGTGGGCGTTTGGAGAAGTGAGTCAACTGAAAAATTTAACAAAAACCCTGTATTTCTATCCTAATCTCAAGTTCCTAGCTTGTCTGGGAGCTGAGATACAGGCATTTGAAGTTTTAGGCGAGAGACGCAGAGTGTCTCGTTGTCTGTGTCTCTTCGAAACTTTAAATGACTGTATCTCGGCTCCTAGATTAGCTAGAAAGCTGAAATTTGGATTAAATTGAATGACAAGTTCAGGGTTTCCAGTGAAATAATATTCAATTTCGCTAGATAAAGAAATATGATTTGTTTTAAAATCCGATAATTCTGAAATTCGGATTTTTCATTTGCTATGCTATTTCCCAACGAAAATCATAAATTTCTATCCAAGTTTGAACTGTTTAGCTCGTTTGGGAGCTGGGATACAGCGCATCAAAATTTGCAGAGACGCAGACAGCTAGAGTGCTCTAGTTGTCTGCGCTCTCTCCCTAAACTTCAAATGACTATATCTCGGCCCCCAGACGAGCTAGAAAGCTGAAATTTGGACAGATATGAAGCTAAAATGTTGAACTTTATAAATACATATTTTTAATTTCATTTTACAGAATTTTTCACCGGCGTTGGCCAAATTTGGGTTCATGCCACCGAGCCATGGGATCAATACGTCCAGAAAACGAACACTGTCGATGGACCACACTTGGCACTAGCCTTCAACGGACATCACTACGAGTTTGGAGTTCCAGCGAATTCTCTGATTCGAGTCAATGAAAAAATCCGATTGCAAGTGCTCTGTCAATATAAGCCACCACCGAATCCGGCGGAAATTAATTATTTGGGACAGAGATATTCGGAAATCTACTATCCAGTTGTGCCTGTGGAGAATGGAGTTTTGGTACGATCCGCGTCTTCATATACGAGAACTGCGAAGAATATGGATGTGTGCAAAGAGACGTTGAAACCGTTCTTGTCTGCAGATGTTGGACCGTTTTTGCCGGATGAGGAGACGTTGGAGCAGTTGACCAAGTATCATCAGGATGTGAGTGAGGAAATTTGAAAGCGAATGGCGAAAAATCAAGTTTCTAGCTCTTCTGGAAGCCGAGATACAGCCGTTTGAAGTTATGGGGGCGAGGCAGTGGGTAGAGAAAGAAGAGGGCAGACAGCTAGACACTCTAACTGTCTGCGTCTCTTCAGAAACTTTAAAAGCCTGTATCTCGGCTCATAGACAAGCTAGAAAACTGAAACTTGGACAGAAACATGGGATTTTTGTTAGAGAATCATACACCTTTGAAAAATTGCAAAAAAACCATATAGTTTTATTTCTATACTGCGCTTTGAAGTTTTGAAGAGACGCAGACAGTTAAAGGCGCTCTCTCCCTTACCCACAGTCTATCGCCTTCAAAACTTCAAATGGCTGTATCTCGGGTTGTAGACAAGCTATAGATGTGATTTCTGGATGAGAATGCTTATTATTTTCTAGGGATTTCATTAAAACATAAACTCCAAAAATTTCACAGAAAAACCTGTCAAAAATTATTATATTTTCTCTACCCCATTCCTGTTGATTTCTCATTTTTTCACGAAAAAAAAAATGAATCGTGTCAAAAAAGGAAGGAAAACCATCCACATCTGTCCAAAAACCACATTTTTAGCTCTTCTGGGAGCCGAGATATAGCGCTGTGAAGTTTTGAGGCTAGAGACGCAGACGACGAGGCCCTCTGCGTCTTTCACCCAATCTTCAATTCGCTGTATCTCGGCTTCGAAGAGAGCTAGAATGCTGAAATTTTGTAGAACTGTGTGTTTTGATCCCAACAATCATATCTTCAATTTTCAGCTCGTTTGGCTGACCCGTTCTGGTGCTGAGGTGAAACTCGACATGCGTGCCATGGCCTGGAAAACCTGTCAAAAAGAGTCAAATCCATTTGAAGTGAAAGTTAAAGATGGACCCTCGGGAACAATCCCAGTCAAAAATATTCAAAATCCCAGTGCTACATGCGAAAATATGAGAAGTGCAGCGATTGCTCATTCTAAAGGACATCCTGCCGAACTTCGAGTCATGTCGGATAGTCGTTCATTGCCGATTTGGTGTAAATTGGGACGTCACGCGATGTTTGATTTTGAAAAACCACCGAATTATCATGTATTCGAGCGTGCTAATGGAGAAAAAATCGGTCATCGGTTGTTTAAGGAAAAAATGACTTTTGAGGAGGCACAGAAGACTTGTGAGGGGGATGGTGGGGTGTTGACGGGCATCAACTCGAGAGAAGAGGCAGATTTTCTGGCAGGTTGGATTGGCGGGAATTTGAAAATTTTAAGATTCTCACATCGAGATCTTAGAATCGTAGAATCTCAGAATCTCAGAATCTCAGAATCTCAGAATCTCAAAATCTCAGAATCTCAGAATCTCAGAATCTCAGAATCTCAGAATCTCAGAATCTCAGAATCTCAGAATCTCAGAATCTCAGAATATCAAAATCTCAGAATCTCAGAATCTCAGAATCTCAGAATCTCAGAATCTCAGAATCTCAGAATATCAGAATCTCAGAATATCAAAATTAGAGAATCTCAGAATCTCATAATCTTTTAAATCTTAGAATCTTAGAATCTCAGAATCTCAGAATCTCAGAATCTCAGAATCTCAGAATCTCAGAATATCAAAATTAGAGATCTCAGAATCTCATAATCTTTAAATCTTAGAATCTTAGAATCTTAGAATCTTAGAATCTCAGAATCTCAGAATCTCAGAATCTCAGAATCTTAGAATCTCAGAATCTCAGAATCTCAGAATCTCAGAATCTCAGAATCTCAGAATCTCAGAATATCAAAATTAGAGAATCTCAGAATCTCATAATCTTTAAATCTTAGAATCTTAGAATCTCAGAATCTCAGAATCTCAGAATCTCAGAATCTCAGAATCTCAGAATCTCAGAATATCAGAATCTCAGAATATCAAAATTAGAGAATCTCAGAATCTCATAATCTTTAAATCTTAGAATCTTAGAATCTCAGAATCTCAGAATCTCAAAATCTCAAAAATCTTGAAATCAAAAAATTTCAAATTTTGCAGAAGTGGCCAAGAAGGAGGGAGCGAATAAGAACAGTCAAATGTGGTTGGGTGGTCATAGAAAAGACATTTGTGCCAATATTAATGGATACGTGAAAAACCCAAATGATGAATGCTCTCGTAATAAGGTGATTGCATGGCAAAACAATGTGGCAACAAATTTTACGATGATTGGTGGAAAGATGCACCGGGAATCTTGAACCCAGACTACGCGAGTGGAAAACAAGAATGTTTGACTTATGTATATGGAAATCCAGGATGGGCCGACAAGAAGAGTAAAGGATTTTTGGATGATGTTGGTTGTAATGGGAAATTGCCATTTTTCTGCACCAAGAAATTGAAATTGGTTCGCACCAATCAGTGATTTGAATCTTGAGTTTGAATTCTCAAAATAAATAATTACAATTTGAAAATTTTGAACTTTCTCGATTTTATGGAATTTCTGAATTTCTGAATTTCTGAATTTCTGAATTTTTGTATTTTTTGATATTCTGAATTTCTGAATTTCTGAATTTCTGAATTTTTGAATTTCTGAATTTCTGAATTTCTGAATTTCTGAATTTCTGAATTTCTGAATTTCTGAATTTCTGAATTTCTGAATTTCTGAATTTCTGAATTTCTGAATTTCTGAATTTCTGAATTTCTGAATTTCTGAATTTCTGAATTTCTGAGTTTCTAAATTTCTGAATTCCTGAATTTTAGAATTTCTGAATTTCTGGATTTCTGAATTTCTGAATTTCTGAATTTCTGAATTTCTGAATTTTTGAATTACTGAATTTCTGAATTTCTGAATTTCTGAGTTTCTAAATTTCTGAATTCCTGAATTTTAGAATTTCTGAATTTCTGGATTTCTGAATTTCTGAATTTCTGAGTTTCTAAATTTCTGAATTCCTGAATTTTAGAATTTCTGAATTTCTGGATTTCTGAATTTCTGAATTTCTGAATTTCTGAATTTCTGAATTTCTGAATTTCTGAAT